TGTAATCGTGTTAAAAAATCATGATACTTTTTTTTTTTTTTCAGTGTCAATAGGGAGTTACACAGAGATAACTTTTAGATAGGTTTTTTTTTTTTTTCGTTTTCTATCGGGTGTCATTCATTTTTCATTGAATAGCTCACGGTGTTGTAAACTCCCGTTGAGAGTACAAAATTGGATTCGAAGTTTATGTAATATTCATTTAACGATCTCTTTTTTTTTGCATTCATATTCTTTTTCTTTTTTTCTTTTTGTTTTCTTTTTAAATCATTTTAAGATAATTTTTTAAAAAAATAAAATAAAAATAATATTTTTTTAATTTTACTATAGAATTTATACAACATATATAATATAGTAATTATATCCAAATAATTATATTATTGTTATTTTATTAGTATTACGAAAATGAAATATGGAATATGATTAAAAAAATAAGGATATGTGCAAATATTTATTATACTTACTATGGATAACTGCAACGAAATTAAATCTATAAAAAATTCAATAACACGTTATAAAAAAAGCAATTCGATATCAATTTTAACAAGTATAGATATATATTTATTATTTCAATAATATGAACAAATTAAAAGCAATAATAGCTTAATTGTCATAAAAAGTCAAAAAAAGAAGTCATATGTTTAAAACTAACTAATAATTACGAAATACACAGAAATTTACATTCTCTTGCCACTTATGCCAATAAAACGATTTAAAAAAATTCTACCTACCACCGACATGACACACCAGCAAACAACGAAAGTTTACAACGATTACAAGAAATTCCATTACGAACGAAGGACAAAACTTGCATCCAAAGTTTTACAATCGTCAAACGCCTCGTAACACCGTGGAGTAAGTGGCTCGTAACAGTTAGCACTAGGTTCCAATCTATCGCTTGTTCTTTATCGCCTCGAACCTAATCGGATTGTCTCTCATTGCTCAGGCAATAGGTACTCGACTCTGAAACGTTGGCGCTACAACTCTGGCCCCTTTGTTACCATTTACCCCCTCCCTCTCCATCCGGTTTGTAGAATTGTCGTCGGTACGTAACGTTTCGAAAGGCAATCAACCGTTTTACATCTGGAACAGACACGCAATTTACTCTATCCTCCTTATCACAGACATCACCCATGTTTCGTTTCATTTGCATCGATACACTTTTGTAACGGAAACTGCAGGGGCATCCCGCCATTTCCAACTCGGTTCCGCATCGAAACGCTTTTTCCGGCTTTAGACGCTTCATGCTCGAACTCGTTTTTAACGTCTGGTATTTTGCTTCGTATCGTCGTGTTTTCAATGCGAAATATTTGACGGAAGTCGAGGAATTTATGGAAGGATTTTGAATATGTCGATTTTTACCTATTATTGATATCAAGTTTATGGTTGAATGATAGGTTGTTTGAGATAACGAATTTTTAGAAATAATTTTATTGTGATACAATGATTAGATAACTTGTAATGATAGTGTAGACTTATAGAAGAATTTTATATAGATATGTATATTTATTATATATTTAAATATATATTAAATACTTACTTTTATGTTAAAATCAAAAGTTTATGGTTGTAGAATTTCAAAAAATTCAGAAACTGAATTTTTTTTTGATTATATTATTTATATATTTTAATTATGTAAATGATATTTTAATTTTTTCTCTTTCAATATTCATATTTTCATTTTAGCTTTCCTATTTTTCCAGATATTTATACTTTTAATATCATAATATTATATTATATTGTGAAAAATATTCGAAATATGTTTTTTAATATCATAAATACTAAATAAATAAATAAACACTAAATAAATCATTAAGATCATCAATAAAAAGATTTTTATATTTAAATCAAGCATTTGACTTTCGATATTAAATTTCAAAAATTGAAAATATCAAAAAAAATGATATAATCTAATATTATTAAATAATATTGTTAAAATATTTACAAAATATAAAAACGAAAAGGGAAGATCATATTGGTAATTTGAAAAATCAATAAATTTCCAATTTTCTTTAAAAATTAACAATTTTTAATCATCATAGAGTACACGTTATATTATATTTAAATCATCGAATATTAAACAATTTAATCCTCGAAATAGAAAAATATTTTTACACTTCACGTAACATTTTACATCGATTTTAATATTGGACGCGCTGCACCGTTTCGTCCCATTTCTATTGCACAAAAATTTTTAACGACAGACCAAATTTTCAACGTCTCTGTCGAGTGGAACATTTCCAAAAGATATTCCCCGCTTTGTGCATGATAGAATTACCTGAGATATTACGTTTTTTTTTCAGGTAGAAAGTAGAAAATGCGTTTTCTCCGACGACGTGGTGAAATTTGCAAAACTGTTATTGCTCTGTCAGAAACAGAATTTGTAGAAACGGGCCGTGTTTGTCCCCGAAATTTTTCGAAATATTCTTCCGCTGTCGTGAGCAAAAATTTAGAGGAACGTAAATATTCGAGATTTCTAAAAATAGTCGATGCTTAGAAATTTATTTCGTGTTAAATTCAATTTATAATTATAACAACTCCCTTTAAGAAAAAAAATATGTGATGCATAGTGAATATAAAATTGTAATATGCACGAAATGAGATTCACGAGAAGAAGTATAAAATTACGTTTCTCTTAGCTACTCGTATTTATTTTAAGGATAAAAACGAATACGTTGAAGATAATGCAAATAAACTTCTTCAACTGTTTAGATATTAAATGTAATTTAATCTTTAAAATAAAAATGTAAATTTAAGTTTCTTCGAAATTTAAAAGAGAAAAAAATGATAGAGTTTCAAATAAAACTGTATCTTTTTAATTTATCAATCTCAAAAATTACTGAAACATAATATATCCATTAGAAGTGTGATTATTATTTTGAAAATAATAATCGATCTATTTCAATCAATTTATCACAATATCGTATTCATTAAAAAGAAGAGAAATATATCTTTAAAAGGTTATTGTATCGAAGGATGGACAAAGTTTAAACTTATATCTCGAGTCGAATCAAATCACGAAAATCGTGCGAGCCAAGGTATCCTCGACAATCCATTTCGCATCAATGACTCCTTTGATCCTCGTATCTTTCCTTTATGC